ATATATATATATATATATTGTATAGCATATATATATATGCTAAAGAGTAATCATGGCCCTTTATTTAGTTAAATGCAAGTAAAGCTCCATGCGTCCTTGGTGTGGAGAAAGAAATTGGATGTCACAGAATTCTATCTTGAATGCTATTGCTAAAATATTTACAACCGTCTGCTTAGATTTCAAATTGAACATGTTCATGTAGCTCTTAATTTAGTTTAATTCAACAGATGGTGGTTGTGGGCTTGCTGTATGTCAGGAGCTATGCTTTCTACTTAAATCAATTCCAATGGCAAGCACGAGCAATTGTCCCAGCAGCATTCACATAGCTTGCAGTCTTAGTGGTGGGTACAGTCAGTGGAGTCGCTGCTAGATGCACCATGTGTTTTAAGTTCAGTGGCAACTAGAGTGAAAGAACATGGTCAGAAGGCTCTTCCTGAAGGATGTGAGCTCAACAGTGTTAATTCTAATTACACTTTTGACATACTTTTTACAAATATTTATAGCAGCCAAACAATTTTTTGAGACTCCAAAGAAGTCTAGCTTCATTTAAGTTTTAGGCAAACACCTGGGCAGGTCTTTTTTGTTGTTGTTGCTCATGTTTGTATGTCATCCTCATTTACTTATTTATAATCAAAGACACTCCTAAATAAATATGTGTTTATGTGTGTTTTTCTTGTTAGGAGGGGAGAAAGTTTAGGACCCTCCCTGCTCTGAATTTACTTTCTGTTTCCTCCACAATCTTTACCTTCTTTTTGGTGAACAGAATATATTGTCTCCAAGTAACATTTCTTTTATCCCATGTTTTTAATAGCAATGAATCCAAAGTTGGGACAAAGCAATCTGGACGAATATCAAAGCTTAATTAAGTCTTCTATCCTGATGATAAATATGGGCTTAAAATTTGTTCTAGGAGACACAGTATATATAGCATCACATTCTTCCCTGTCAGGTGCCTCTTTGGCAGCAAGATAAAAACCTCACGCAGATGCAAATTTAGTACCTTAATCAGTTTCATAAAATTATAGAAATGGATGTTTCCCTTAAGGTTCCCATTTTATAAGAAATGAGTTTGATACCAAGATAATTTGTATTAATTTTCAAGATTTGTTGTTGTTGTTGCTGGTGTTTTCATTTTTATTTCTTGAAGCAGTCAGTTTGTGGTAAAATATTAAAGTTCAAGTAAATAAATAAAAATGAGGCATGTTAGGTTAATCTTACTAGGCCACCCCCTCCCTGTTCCTTGAAATATAGTCTTTATTTTTCATACCTCTGAGGGATGCCCTGTTATCTGACCTATTAAATCCATTCCTAAGGTTCATTTATTTTCCTCTTTATTATCAATCTCTCCTTGATAAAGTAAGTGTTATTCATTATAAAGTTCCTCTAGGTGTCATATGTTTAGTTGGAACTAATCTGGTTTAATTTCTCTTAAATGGAAACAACTTATTTCTTTACTTATGCTTGAACCAAGTTATATAATTTGAATAAGTATGCTATTTCCATTACATATAAAGCTGAGTGTATTCACATTTTAAAAAATCCTCCTTGATGACTAGTGAAATGTAAATTAAGATATCAGCAAGGTATTACTTTTCATTTACTAAGTTGAAGATGTTTTGGCAAGAGTGTGAGGAAAACAGGCCATTTCTTATACTATTGGTGGACTTGTAACTACAATAACCTTTCTGGAAATTATTGGCTGTGATAAAGTTCAATATTTAAAAGTGATTGTGTTCTTTTATTTACAATTCTACCTGAGAAGTTTGTTCTAAAGAAGTTTTAGATTTACACAAGGATTTATCTGTATAATTCTTCATTGCTTTTTTTACTTACAGTAAGGAAAACTTGAGAATCTACATGTTTAATTTTTAGAAAGTGGTAAAATAAAATATCCCTAAAAGCAAATAGTATATTTAAAAATGTTAAAAAAAAAGATTCCTGGAATATTGTTAAGTAAAAACAAACAAACAAACAAAACAAACCTAATGCAGTTATCAAATTGTATATATTTTGTGATCCTACTTTTATAAATTAAAGAATGCATATTTATAAATATACTAGTGCCCCAGTGCACAGATTCATGCACATTGAAAGGAAATTAATTAGAAAGTGGCCAGCGGGGCTGGACACACCCTGGAGCCAACCTCCCGCGGTCCCTTCCCACCGGCTGCACCTGGGACAGTGCCATGGTTCAAAGGGCATCTGCCGAGTGAGCAGGGTCCCTCCAGCAGGAGGGGTCCCTCAGCCTGGCCTGCAGAGATTGGGCCGAAACTGGCTCTCCGACATCCCCTGAGGGGTCCCGGATTGTGAGAGGGCTGTTCTCGGGTGACGCACTTCAGAATTTGTTTACCTCCTCTCTGGTTCTGGGGTGCATCATCTGAGAACCACCACTGCCGAGTCACCACAGCTGCCAAGTCACTGCAGTTCGGCAGCTCCTGCATTGAGTGTCTGCCCCCAGGTGGTCAGTATGCATCATAGCTACCGGTCGGATGGTCGCTTAGCCTTTTATATATATAGATGTTTATAATAATCAAATATCAGATATGTAGTTATGTAATAATCAAATATGTAGTTACAACTACATAGCAGAATGAGTAATTATCTGTACTTTCTGAATTTATGCAATGAAAACTATGGCTGCCATAGCCAAATCATAAACTCTTCCATTTGACTCCAGATTTTGTCTTTTTTTTCCCCCAGAAATATAAGCCCTATAACAATGGCACTTCCAATCAAAAGTGGAATTACATTGAAAATAAGAATACTTTTATGGCCTTCCATAGCACTGCACTGGATAAGGAAATCACAGCCGCAAATTATGCTGGAATTTGTACATCCTCTGTAGTTAAAGAAAACATTGATCAACCAGTAAGTGGTTCCTTCCTACTGAGGATAAAATAAAAATAGGGGGAGAGGGAGTAATTTAATAAAGCCAGAAATTATCTTTATAGAAAACTTATGTTCACATAAATTGAGCACTGATTTGTAAATGAACTCAGGGATTCTGGGTGGGAAAGAATGAGGGAATATTGATATTACTCCCTACTTATATGGTTCTGATGGCTCCCTATCACCAGCACCATCTTTGGTTCATCATCAGTTCACCAGAACACACATGAGGGAGGACAATCACACATACTACCCTCCACAGGTGTGCCTGCCACACCAGGTGTCACTCTACTCCATAAAGCATCCTAACATGCAAATGAGTATAAGTGACTTTAACTATATTACACTATACCAAGCATGGGCCTACGCATTCAATACATTCTAATTTGTAAAGAAAATAATTTATCAAGTTTGGTCCTTTAATTTTTATTAGTAAGAATTACTTGCACTGTGCTTTACAAATATCTAAGATATTGTGGATCAGTGAGTCAAGCTGCCTTGATGTTGTTGCTGACCATTGGCATACCTGAAATCTCATAAAGCACCTATAAGACCCTCCACGACCCTCTTTACTCTGCTTCTTAGATGTCTCTAAACTGCTGCTGCTGCTTTTTAAAAATAATATATTTTTATTGATTTCAGAGAGGAAGGGAGAGGGAGAGATAGACACATCAATGATGAGAAAGAATCATTGACTAGCTACCTCCTGCATACCTCCTACTGGGGATCAAGACAGCAACCCAGGCATGTGCCCTGACTGGCATCAAACCCGGGACCCTTGAGTCCGCAGGCTGACACTCTGTCCACTGAGCAAAACCAGCTAGGGCCTGCTGCTCCTTCCTCACTTATCATTCTCTAACTCCACTGAATGAGAGATGTCCAGGACTACCATGCAATTTTGCATCTCTCTGGTTTTGACTGTGCTATCCCCTGTACCTCTTTCTATTTTGTCTGTGAACTCATACCTGTTAGCAGATACACTGTCAGACTAGTAAGGCTGTCTTAAAATGAAACAAGTCAACTTGGAAAGGCTCCCACTATCCAAAGATGAACCATTTAAGCATTAATATGCTAATTAGTGCAGTTGATTGACATACATCAGATATATTTAAATCCATACTGATATTAAGCAACAGCAGCAACAACTCATTGGTCACAACTAAATGATGCTATGAAAACAAATTCATTACTTTAAAAAGTGGAAAATAAATAATCAAGCTTTTTTTTCTTTATTTCCTCAGGATAACAAAATATTGGGTGAGAAGTTTCACTTTATAGAAATACTAGAGGCCCGATGCACGAAATTCGTGCAAGAGTAGGCCTTCCTTCCCCCAGCTGCCGGCACCAGCTTTCCTCGGGCACCTGGGACCCTCGCAGTCCCAACTTCATCCCGAAGGTTGTCCGGAAGGACATCTGGTCTAATTAGCATATTACCCTCTTATTATTATAGATCCTTGCTAATGAGTGAATTGGCACACAATTCATCATGAACACCATGCTTTTCTATCTAAATGATTCTTTCTGTATGTAATATTCATTCAGTTCCACCCGAGAGGGGATATTTAATTTTCTGCTTTCCAGTAACTTGTAGAAAAATGGAAATCAGATATGCTGATAGAGAAATTCATAGTGAAATTTGAGAGTGACATCTTTGAAAGTATGATGTCAGTGTTGACTTTGAATTGAGATAGCTCTATGTACTTAAAGGAGTGGTTGAACAGAATGGAAAAGGCAGCACAGCCAAGAGCTTGGAATCAGATGTCAAAGTTTTATATCTCATCTCTGCCATGTGCTACTTGGGTATCCTCTTCCTCTCTGAACTTTCATTTTATCTTGTGTACTAGTACATTGAGCCTGGTGGTACTAACTCTGACTGTATGTAACTTTCAGCCTTGTGAAGAACAAAGCCAATTAGAGAGTCTATGTGAAGGTACTTTAAAATGTTATCATGGAAATTTTCATGCATATTCAAAGTTGAGAGATTAGTACAATGAATTCTCAGGTACCTCTCATCAAAATTCAACTCTTATCAGGGTTTAGAAATATTTACAACCCCCCAGACATGATATCACTTCACCTCAAACGTAAGCATGAACCTCTGAAAAATTTGAACATTTTCTTACATAATCATTATGCCATTATCACATCTAACAAAATTAACAGTAATTCCTCAAATGCCCTGTTCTTAATTATATTTCCCAGGTTCTCCTACAAAATTCTTCTTATGGTTGGTTGGTTTGAGTCCAGATAGTTTTATTGTGGCCATCATTGCAAATAATCAGCCACTTTTTCTAATGGCCAAATATATGATGTATAAATTGGTGCTCGTTTACTCCACAGGTGCTCCCTTACTCCAATAAGTTGTGGTTTTGTTGTTTGTTAGGGTTTTTTGTTGTCGTTTTTAGCATCATTATGAACTCATAGGATTTTTACATATTCAAACATATTCTGTGTTTGGGTTATCATTCTTTTTGTTGCTTTTAAATTGTCCCACTTTGGGCCTGTGGAGACTCTTTATGTTGGCTCCTGTGTGTTTTTGACACGATTCCATGATGATTTTTCCTTCTGGGCACCACATGATATCCCTTGCTCATTTTGTGTATTTCTTGCCCCAAATATGGAAGTAGCCATTCCTCCAAGAAACTCTGATTCTGGGCAAAAGTTATACACATTATGTTGAATTGTTATTGTCTCTAAGCATCTTTTAGTCAACAGAGTTTGGAAATATGTTCTCTTTTAAAAATATATGTTTATTAGTAAGCAAAATAATGCATTCATGTTGTGATTTCATTCGGGAATTATAAAAATGCTTTATTTGTAAAGTGTTCTTCAAAAATGCTGCTATAATTTAGGTGTTTCTATATAAAAGCACCTTTGTCCCTCTTTTTAGGGATACTATTCTCTCTCACCTTCTGGAAAGAAAAAAATGATGCTGTGCCTGGCCTGTGGACGATCCCTGAGAGCAGAGAAAGGACTGAAGCAGCTGCCTGCAGGGCTGCCATTCGTCTGTGCCTCAGGCTCCGAGACCCAGAGGCCCTTCTCACGAGGGCCTTTCAAGACCATCCATGTGGCCGAGGTGTGTAAGGATCTGAGCTCTGCTAATACCTACATGGCATCACTTTAGAAACTTTGATGCACTCATTATCTGCCTTGCACTCAAGTTCATCTCCAAGCGTCCAATTCATCTTCCTCTGATGCACCTTTACCATTTCACCTGCATTGATTTTCTCTTTCCCATTGTAATTTAAAATACATTGTCTATTAATAGTTCGATACACTCTTTGAAGTTAATTGGCCACTTCTGCGGCTTTAATCATCTACTGACACCTTCCACTGCTCTCTGTGTTGCTTTTAGATGGGGAAATCACTGCGAATCTTCACTTAGTGGAGCAGCTTTTATGCCTATATCCACGGGGTAAAGTCCTTTTTACAAGATGCAGCATTTCGGGGAGAATTTGATATGTCGTTGTCAATGACTCTTCAGGTTGGGGGCCTGAATTCACGCACCCATGTCTAATATTATTTATAGCTTATGGAGAGAAAAACCTCTGCCACTTTCCTGTGATCTTAATTTAAAATGGCACCATTTAAAAAAGCCTTTCTTTCAAGTTTAGACATGAGAAGAGCTAAGGGGAACTTACCCCGCTGTATAAAAAGGAGTCATTCCTAAGAGGTGGGCAACCTTTGGGCCTGGTGTGCTCATCAGGGCTTGCTGCCCATTCCCAGATCACTCTCCTCTCCCCTCCCTAAACCCGATACACATTGTGGGGAGGGGATGAGAAGGGGATAGTAACAGTTACATACACATCAGCTGAAACAATAACTCTGAAGGAGAAAGGAAGTCAGTCCTCTGGGGAAGTCATTGGCCTCTGCTTGAGGGAGAGTGTTTAGGACAGTGGTCAGCAAACTCATTAGTCAACAGAGCCAAATATCAACAGTTCAACGATTGAAATTTCTTTTGAGAGCCAAATCTTTTAAACTTAAACTATATAGGTAGGTACATTGTTATTAACTTAATTAGGGTACTCCTAAGGCTTAGGAAGAGCCACACTCAAGGGGCCAAAGAGCCGCATGTGGCTCGCGAGCCGCAGTTTGCTGACCACAGGTTATGAGGTGGCAGTGAGCTGATTGGAAAGCCTGCCCAGTGTCCCATCATCTCAGACAGGGCTTTTCCCATGGGGCAGCATCCTGTGCAGGGCTGGACAGGGAAAGGTGAAGTGTGGTGTTCATACCCTCGTTACCATGTGATGAAGGCCACGCTCATCCCCTCTTCGTTCATCAGTATCTGCCACCAGAGGAGGGCATCATCCTAACGCTAAAGATTAAGAGAACATGCGTACTGTGGGTGTCCCCTTACTTCAACCCCAGGCTCTCCCTGGCCCTGGCTTCCTTCCCCATCTGCTGTCATAAGAGAAGGAAAGTAGAAAACAGGAGGAGGCTAGGAACACAGCCAGAGCCCCAACCTCACCCAAGACTCAGCAACAGGCTGGGAAGAGAATGAGTTCTGACCTGATATCCATCCCACCACAGCATCCAATACTGGTAGCATGTGGAGTGAGCATTTCAAAATGTAGATGCCACACATATGTACATGCACATATTTATCAAATTGAGAGACTGGAGTATATCTGAATGACAAAACTGTGAAGAAAAAAAAAAGCTTGAGTAGACCTATGATTTTTTTTTTTAAATCAGGTTGACTTATCTTCTTCTGAGGCTGAAAAAACTCTAAGTCATTATGAAGAACATCTATTATCTTTACGGATGAAGACCTGCACACAAGTTGTAGCTCCTATTGGTACGGCAGCTGCACTCCAGAAGCCGGTGAAAATAATTGCATACAAAAATGGAGATGGATATCGAAATGGGAAGTTAATTTTTTTTTTTTAAATCAGGTTGACTTATCTTCTTATGAGGCTGAAAAAACTCTAAGTCATTATGAAGAACATCTATTATCTTTACGGATGAAGACCTGCACACAAGTTGTAGCTCCTATTGGTACGGCAGCTGCACTCCAGAAGCCGGTGAAAATAATTGCATACAAAAATGGAGATGGATATCGAAATGGGAAGTTAATTGTGGCTGAAACATTCCCCATGGTAAGTGGCTCTCACTTAACTGCTTCTTGCATCCTCGGAAGTAATGATAATGGTGATTCTTCTGACAAGAAAACAGCAGTGGAATTGAGTGATAAATGTCCCTGGCCAGTTTCACCAATTTATGCTGATAAGATCAAGATCTCTGTTTTCGTAAAGATTTTCTTTTTGATTGTATTTCTTAGGAAAATGAGAAAGCAGAAGATGGTTTTTAGATTGGGTCCAGAGCAATGATATATAAAAGCAAAGGGAAAACAAAGCTACCAGATTTTCTTCATTTTTGTGATAGACACAGCACCTTCTCTGCCTTCCTTCCCATTCCAACTTCAAGTTGTATGTCATCTGCATATTTTAGAAGATGCCACCTCCTTTATCACTGCAGAATCTGAGCACTTATTTGTTTATAAATAATTTGATTCATCTGATTTTCAAATTGAAGAAGCCAGGGTTGTGCTGACAGGGCATGTGTGGTTTCTGTCTTAGCGGCTGTGCCCTGTAGTCAACAGAAAAGGAAGAGAGCCCCAAAGGCTACACCCAGTTTTGTCCTATGTCTGGGGATGATCTTGTCAGTACCCTTAATGACATAATTTACAAGTAATGTTATATATGACATAAAGTTATCCTGGAGACTTCCTTGCAAACACTCACACATACACACCCTTGTTAACTCACCTCTTTGGTTGAATAAAAATAGAATTTTTAAACTAAGGTATTGTTGTTCAATGAAATAAGCCAAGCACAAAAGTTAGCAACTCCAGGCTTCATCCTGGGACCCACAGCTGGCTTTTGTGATCTTTGACAAAATTATTCTTTTAGCCTGTTTTCCCATCTGCAAAGTGGAAGTAATAATATGCGTCAGCTTTTGGTTTAAAAGTCAACTACTCATTTATCTTAAACAGTTTATCAAGATGACTATAGCAATATCATACCTTATAAAGCAACAAAATTGAAAGTGGATTTTTAGGTTAAACATTTTTTAAGGAAATACTCTAAGGAAACACATCAGCTACCATTTTAAATTTTTGGAGCTATGACTTTTCACAGCTAAATTGGACTCATGCTGTATGAAATTAAGTAGACCAATCTAATATCAAAAAGTGTCTCTAATCAAAGATCAAATAGGCAGTTATTCAGCTTTCTATTTTCTCAAATTAAAGGATTTTCTTCGATTTCTAAGATAACAAGCTCTTCATGATCATTCCCAGTTCTGTCACTGTTTCCTCTCAGTTCCTTATGTAACTGGACAAACAATGGGTCCGTGCTGCCTGTCACTACTTGAGCCAATTAAGCAGAGACAGGGTTGAATCATTACGAGCATTTATTCTAATACTGCCGGCAGTATGGGAGAGCAGCAGGTCATCCACAAAAATCTGCTCTGCACCCCACCATAAGCCAGCTGCTTATATTGGGTAAAGGGACAAAAATTAAATGGGGAAATAGCCAAAAGGTATGCCAAATGGGCAGTTAACAGATAAGCAGGCTGGAGATTTGCAAAGGCCCACAGGTATGCAAACGGGCTGGGGTCTTCAAAGAGCTGGCGATTCTGGTGATTCTGGTTTCTGCAATGAATTTGTTAATCTTTCCATGATATTAGGCAGCTCCAAATGGGGAAGATGGGCTGCATTTCCAGGTGTGTAACTGCCAGCCAGGTTAGAATGTGCCTTCTTTAATCAGGACAAAACAATCATAGTTAACAAAGCATGATTAATATTTCTTACAATTCTAGCTGGTTCTCCAACATTCTATTTCTACCCCCGTCACTTACAGTCCATGTTATCTAGCTTCTTACAGAATGCACGGAACAGCTTGGTCTTGCCCGAGCAGCCTCCAAAGTATATACTAAAGATGGAACCACAATCCTTTCCCTGCGTGAACTGGTTTTATGGGCTCTAGATAAATCATTTATCCACAGAGACCCTGAGGAACAAAAGAAAGAGGCAGCCCCCATTGGAACAAAGGAGACAACTATTAAACGTATGGTTGGTTACATTCTACAACGCTGAGCTGATTCTGCTATGTTTGGTCAAAAAAAGAGTAAATTTTGATTCTTTCACTCTATCACTAAAACAATAAATAAATTGCCTGGAATTTATAAAATGTGTTTGACAGCTTAGCTACTTTATGCAACTTGAGCAGCTTTTGTTCTTAAATTCAGAACCCAAACCAATTGGAGACCACTTGGGAGAGTGGGGCTGGATCAATGCAAATTTCTTCCTAAGATCTGAAGCAAAGGTGTCCTTACCTTTTGCCTTCCAAGTTCCTTTGCTTGCCCCTGCCCATCTCCACTGCTCCTATAAACTCTCAGAAGGTCCAGAAAATGTGCCTCTATTGCAGCTCCTAGCATATCTGTATATATAAAAGCCTAAGTGACCTTTAGGACCAGACCACTGGACAACCAGATGACCGGATGACTGGCCAGTAGCTATGATGCACACTAACCACCAGGGGGCAGATGCTCAATGCAGAAGCTGCCTCCTGGTGGTCAGTGCACTCCCACAGCCAACCTCCCGTGGACCCTCCCCCTGCCGGCCAGCCCCAATCGGCCCTAATCCCTGGCCCCGATTGGCTCCATCAGGACTGGGCAAGATGGGCCCCGATCAGCCCCAATCACCGGCCAGGTAGAGGGATGCCACCCATGTACAAATTCATGCACTGGGCCTCTAGTTGATTATAATTATCTGTTTACATCTTTGTAATCATGGCTTGGTTTTTCTAGTTACCAGCTCCATCTGGGAGCCCACCAAGAGTCATCTCAGAGCAAAAGACACTGCCATCACCCAGGAAATTCCAAAGGACTTAGGAGCTGTGCCAGGAACCTGGGTCAAAGACTAAACATTAGAAGAGAAGATGCCCCTAGTGCTTTTATCACTTAGAAAATCAGAAGAATTTCAGGAGCTGTGTGCCAGGAGCCAAGGATAGAGACCAATATACTACTATATAGTTTTATTATTTCACAATGATATGGTTTTGTTTTCTAATGAGTTTTAAAAATAATTATGTAAACAGTTAATGCTTAGCTGATCACTAAAGTGTATAGTTCTGCCTTTTTTAGCATATAGAATATTTGATTTCCATGTTCTGGAAGATTATACTCTCACTCTTTTTATTTAAAACCTGGTTTTCATGCAGGACTACCAAAAGGGCATGGCCATCCTTTCCCCTTTGTATTCTAAAGGTTATCCTTGAATCAGGCAGGCCCATTAGCAGCTGCCCCCTGTGTTGAATTGTGGTTTGGTGTTATGCCATCAGTTTGAATTTAAGAACTTGAGAGAAATAGGCATCTGTCAGAAACTCAGCATCATGCTTACAATAGAGGCAGTGGTTAAAGGCATAGGCTCTGGGGGCGATGGCCTAGATTCTAATCCTGTCTCTGCCCCCACCTAGTTATGTGACTAAATCTCAGTAACCTTTTCTGTAAAATAGGCAGGAACCTACCTCAGAGCATCATTTTGAATATTACATGAGAAGATGTATGTAGATGTCCTAGTAAAATGCCCAGCACATATTAGATTCTCAATCTATGTTAATTTCTATTGTAGGATATTGTTTGCTATATCACAAGTAACTTCTGTATTAAAAACCATGGAATTGCTTCTCTCAGACCTCAGGACCAGGAGATGTATATCTTCTGAAGAATTTCTTTCTTTTTGTGGGCTTTGCAAATCTTGAAATTGTGTTTTCCATTTTGCTTTGACCACTAGGATGCTCAGAGCCTAAATTGTGCTTTACCTCTAGCAAATAAAAACAGTGTGTATTCATGTACATTTAATAATAAAAATATTGGAATTTTTTGGATGCTTGCCCAATTACATAGACCAAACACTATTCTATGTACTTTCCTTTTTTTTCTTTTAATCTTTCCAACAGCAAAGTGAGATAGACATTATTATTTGTTTATAAGATGAGGACACTACAGCAATTATCCCTGGCTTTAGTCTATTCCTATACTCCTTTCCCCCCTTCCTTGGTTTTTCAATCTCTTTGTGTTATCCCTTTTCAGAGTAAATGTGTTGGTAAGCCACCTCAAATTCCCTTCAGAAGTAGGAATCAAAATGCATAGTTATAATCAGATGAGTATAAATTATTTGGCTTCTGTGAAGTTCTGATAAAATTTATATATTAGCATCAGTTTTGGTATTGCCCACTTAAATCAAGTCATTAATGAAAAATGAAATATTTTGAATAAACAAATTAATTCAGTAAGCAGATTTACTCATTATTCATTGAACAATGGTAAAATGTCATTTGTTTCCCAGAAAACCCAAGACTGAAAGTGAAAAACAAGTTATTTCCAACATCTGTGACATCCGATGGTTTGGATGGTATAGATGAGTCTTTGTTCACCCTCCTTCACAGAAGCCCGATTGCCATCTGGGTATCTTGTGGGGAACCATTTTTATCTCCCAATGGTAAGGATTTTTTTTGTTTTTGATTTCTTCCAAGTAAGTGCATGAAGGAAAGGATAAATAAATTTATAAGAAAATGAATTAAATGTGTATAATGTCAGCATAACATCACATTTATGCAAAGAACGGGGATCTATCAATTAATATGTGCACAAGGATAGCTATATTTGCACAATTGCCTGTTTTTTCTTAATGGAATGGAATATGCTGCATGGAAAAATGTCTAATGCGGGGATCTATCAATTAACATGTGCACAAGGATAGCTATATTCCTATATTTGCACAATTGCCTGTTTTTTCCTAATGGAATGGAATATGCTGCATGGAAAAATGTCTAATTTAGTTGATAAAGAGATCCTTGGTCTGTGAAGACTGAGAATAATGGTGTACATTAGAAAATAACAAATGAGTTTAATTCACACTGAAGACGACCTGTCTGCACATTTTCATTTTTAAGAATTGCACCCTTTAGGCAGTAGGTGGATGTTTAAAAAATGAGTGGTTCCAAGCCAGGCTTTCATCACCTCCAAATAGTTTGTGGAAGTGGAAAATGAAATATGGCTATTGCATATGGTAAATCTATATAATAAAACAGCACTGTTCTTCTCTTTCTCCCCCTGCATTCCATAAAGAAATGCCTTAAGCCCTGTCATCTTTCAAATGAGGTTTCTTTTAATGACCCTTACCTTTTAATTACTTCTTTCTAATTGAATCTATTTCTTGGAGCAGAAAGTTCTTTATAAATTATTGGCTTGCATGATAAATTACTGTTGGTAAAAGAATGCAAAATAAAATATCTTGTATTTTTATTACTCTAGCTTTGCAGAAAGCAAAAAAATTAGAAAAACAGAACTGGCAAAAAAAGGACAAAATTTTGGCTGACTTAGACACCATGAAGCACAAAATGAGACAGTTAAAAGGTCAGTATGAATTAAATCGAGTATCATCATGTTTAATTCTAAATAGTCTTTTTACCATTAGATACCAGATGTTTAACTGAGTTATATATGTATACATATAGTGTTACCAAAGTCACTTGAGCTAGTCTAAAACCTAATAATATATATTTTCAGTACTGATTATATATTTTTAAATTTTATATTAAAATAAATATCACATGATTTATATATACATTTAAAAATTTAGGCAGTTGTCTGTATCATATAAACACCCTATTGTTGTGAAACAATTCCTGCACTGACATTTTATGGGCTTAGGAATTAATCTTTGAACAAAAGTTGCTGTCATTCCTTAGGTGTTGCTTTGGAAGAAGTGTTTAAATAATGTAAGGAAGGAAGTACTAAATTCTTCAAAGATCATTGTCAGTATCTCAGAACAGCTCCCTCTTGTCATGCAGCCTAAGATATGCTATCCATAGACAAAGTGATCAATTAGCAATTGATCTTCCACATGTTTTTGTCACAGAATTTTAGGTTCTTGACCCAGCACTTCAGATACCAAATGGTTCTTTGGGGAGAAACAGTGCATTATGGGGTTTAGTCTGGAAAGGAAAACATTTCAGGCTCTGTAACTGCCATAGCAGGATTTCAACTCCTGAGTATGCTCACTGTCTGGTGTTAAAAGCATGTGAATCTTATTTCAATCAACAACACAACTAGTCCTAAGTGCACTAAACAGAACTCTGCATTCAATGATTATTATTCCATTCTTACAAAAAGAATTGTTGTGTCTAAGTGAAAAGAATCTATTACTTCTGCTAGACATTTTCACTTGAATGTCCCATGGGTATGTCCAAAACTAAAGTTATCATATCACCCCCACACCAACGCCTCCTTCATCATTTTTTTTTTTTAACAGTGGACACTCCCACCATCCACCCAGGTGTTTCATCTCAGAAATCTGGGAGTCATTCTAGGCATCTCTCTCACTTTCTCCAAGCGAATATCAGTAAGCCTTGTTGCTTTGAAGCTATTAAGTTTATCTCAAATGACTTCTAACAGTCTGAATTCCCACTATCATTACCCAAGTTAAAGCTACTGTGACCTATTCTTTGGATTACTAGAACAATTTTCTAACTGGTCTCCTGCCTCCAGTATTTATTATTATTATTATTATTATTATTATTATTTTTAATTCCTGGTGCAGAGTGAAGCAGGGCCTTGACCAACTTTTAGCACCATCCTAGAGGTCTGTGAAAATGCTCACTCCTACTAGTATAATAAATCGTGCTCCCTTTGTGAATGAAAAGACAAAGCACACCACTCAATAAAATATTATTGATTCTGAAGAGGAAGAAAGAGATAGAAATATCCATGATGAGAGAGAATCATTGATCAGCTGCCTCCTGCACACCCTACTGGGGATCAGGCCCCTAGCCCAGGTATGTGCCCTGGCTGGGAATCAAACCATGACCTCCTGAATGACTTCAGGGGTTCATTCAACCACTGAGTCACACTAGCTGGACCCTGCCTCCAGTTTTGACAGTAGTGTCCATTCTACGCGTTATAGTAATATTCTTGAGCTGGAGTGATCATGCAAAAATGCAAAGGTGTCATGGTCGTCCAGGCATAAAACTCCCCATTTCAAAGCTCCCATTATGTTAAGACAAAGTTGAAACTCTTTAATGGGACCCTTCATGGTCTGGTTCTCTGCAAACTACTCTCTTTCCTTGACAATTCCACTCCACCCCACCAATTTGGGCTTTTTTTTTTTTTTTTTCATTTCCCAGTCGTACCATGTGTTTTCTTTTGACTCTGAGCTTTTTGCACAATTCAGTCCCCTCTGCCTCAAACTTTTTTCTCTCCTGTCCCCTTGGATTGCTCCTACTCATTCTATACTTTTCAGCTCACTTGTTATTTCTTTCCAAATTAGGGGTAATGTGGTTTACCACACTCTGAACTTCTCCTCTGACAGTCCTCATCACATTAGTATAATTGCCTGGTCATGTAACATGTGACTGTACCTTCTCTCTTATATTATAAATTATATACATTTCTTATTTGTTCTCTGAATAGTTTTAGAAATATTGAATGAAAAAATGAATGGAATTTCAACCATCCCCTCCAGCAAGTTTTTTCAGCTCTATTCCTGTTCCAGGTTAAATCAATACCAAGCAGCATACTGAAAATAGCACCTGGAAGAACTGCCTTGATTAAATTCTAACTTTATATCAAGTCTTCAGCTCTTATTATAATTAAGATAATTCAGCTCTTATTTTAAATAAGTATAATTTAATACTTATTATTATTATAAGTATTAGTATTAAAAAGGCATTTAAAATTCAGATGCCATCATTTATAATATCACTGTTGAAGAAAATATTTGGTCAGATGATGTCCATTGTGGAAAAATCTACATGATATGGTTTCTCTTAGAATTTAGTGCTAAGATAAATCTTGGCTCTTCTTACAAACTATGTTTCTACTATTAAATGTAAATTCAATACATACTTATAAAATACCTACCCTGAGGAAGGTCTTTTCTAGTTTGGGGATGATGAGGATAAATAAGAATAGATCTAAGTCCAGTTAACTGCAGTCCCTGTTGGATTGTGAGCTTCTTGAGGATTGGATGAAAGAGGAGGTATTGGAGGTATGAAGAGTGGCCGAATCAATTCTTTCCTATTATGGTAGCCATTGGTAAATGCAGCAAGTGTCTATTGAACATATACTATGAACAAAGAACTATGCTAAGTTGATTTTACATTTCATTTGTAATATTAGTTGCAGTTGCTAATATTAATTATAATACTAATAATAACCTATTAGAGCTTTTATGATTAAGTAACAAATGTCAACTATTTACACCATGTTTAGCACATAATAAATACTCAGTAAATATTAGAATAGGAGTTCCTGAAGAAGGCAGCCCATGCTCCCACCTGGGGTCTTAAACACTGGTAAGTAAAAGTAAAGAATGGCAAAGTATCATCTTTGTTATGTATAAAGGCAACACTAGAACCTTTTATTTAGTGTGATAACTAAATGGAGCTGCTAAATGAAACCCCAAATAAGGTGGACTTATCCTCTCGGACACAGATGATGCTGTAACAGGGATGGCCTCCCCATTAGGGAGGGGTATGAGAAGAGCTGTCTAGGTTTTATAGTCTGAAATTTGGTTTGAGATTTATAGTCTAAAAATAGCAAAGCACTCATGTTCTCTAGCTTACCCCATTAATAGTTGGCTATTATCATTACTTTCCCTTGATCTCATGTGAAATAAAATAGGATATATAGAAAATGGTAATAAGAAAATATAAATAATGTATTCAATACATTTTTTGCTTGGTTTCAATATTCTTCCTACATAAATAATAGTTTGTTATGAAAACCATTCCCCAAACCAAAACCTTTTGTGATAACATTATGTCTCTTTATGATAATTACTAGAGGCCCGGTGCATGAAAATTCATGCACTGGATGGGGGCGGGGCAGTCCCTCAGCCCAGCCGGCTCCCTCTCACAGTCTGGGAGCCCTCAGGGGCGGGAGGCGACCCAACGATCAGGGGAAGGTGACACCCCCATCACACCTCTGCTGCTGCCACTGCCAGCAGCGCAAGCCTCGGCCAGCCCTGGTTACCTGAGCCTTGGGCAGCGGCCCACCCTGGTGGCTGGGCAGCCACCATCCAAGGCTTGCTTGTGCCTTGGGCTGGCCCTGGGCGTCTGGGGGGCTGAAAGCGGGTCCCGCTGCACCACGCGCCTGCCATCCCCCCCCCCTCCAGCGGGGCTGAAAGGACTGGAGAACTCTGGCGGGGCTGAGGGGACTGGGCACCGCATCTTGTGGCTATGGGCGCCGCCATCTTTTGTGACAGTGTGATGGTCAATTTGCATATTCCCTCTTTATTAGATAGGATAATGAAAGTGTATTCATGCTTAATTTTCTTAAGAGCATTAGAAGCACATTGACAAAAAACAAATAATGCATAATGGTTTTTGTTCTTCCTATGTTCAAATCCTGGCTCTCAACAGTGCAAGTGATGAACTATTGCTGAACTCTCATTAACTGAGCAAAATTCTAGTGTTCAAAATGCATTATACTAGTAAATAAAATATTTATTGAAATATTATTCATAAAAATGTATGTCATAAATTAATGTTTTCTGCACATTATGAATAGAGTTGTCTTAAAACTATGGTTAGTGCATTAATTTCTGTTATGTATATTTCTGCTACCATTGTGTCTTCTCCAAAGCATGTTGTATAATGGTACTGCCAGTGTAACTCATTGGCTGACTGATTCAGTTATGTTTTCTCCACATTTATAAATTGCATAAGAATGCTATGTACATAGGGTTTTGGTTTCTATGAAAAGTCATTGCTGCCACTTATTTTTATTATTGGATCTATTTCCACAAACTTGAACTACAAGAGCACAAATGCTTTATTCTCCGCAAGTTCTGAATTATTTTCAACGAGTTTTCTTCATAGTCATATTCTGAAAAGAGTTGCTAAAGAGTCTTTTGGCAACATAATTGGTACTTAACTTCATTTTAGAATTTTTATTATTATATCCACCTAAGTGTTACTATCTCAAAGAAGCCTTCCCTGAGACCTCAGACGAGGTTAGCGACTCCTGCTACATGGCTTTATAGGCCGTGTACTTCCCTGGTGCAGCACAGTCACAATCAGTTATTGTTCTAATCATCTCCTTGACATCTGCATTTCCCACCAAAGTGTAAGCCTTTGAGGCAATGACCTGATCTTGAACATATTTTTATTTACATCATCCAGCACAATGTCTGACCCATAGCTGCTGTTCAACTTGGTTTCTGGAAGGAGCATACAAGAAAAGCATTATTTTTACTTAAGTTTAGAGATCAGCATGATACTCAGTGCTGAGTATCTCTTCAGCACACAAAAAATTCATAAGTATGACTTTTAAGCTTCTTTAATAACGATTTTAAGCAGTCTAGTTGAAAGGATGCATAAATTCACATCACCACACTTATTAAATCATGCCTGTGATTCTTTGGAATGCAGTATTCCAATAAATATTTTCTCTTACCACAGCTTCTTAACAGCCTAAGGGGCACAGCAGAGGTGTCAGAAACTAATTGTGCTCACAAGGTATTATTAGATAGAAAAAAAAAGGCCTCCTGTCTCTTGGGTTAATATTATTTTAGAAATACTTAATCCCCAGGCTGCTAAGCTAATTGTGGGGGAAAGGCTTATTATTAGTGACGAGAACAAAACATATGTTCCATGACTGGAGGAGATGATGGGTTATATAGGTCATGGATTCTATTTGACTAAATTACTGCTGAACCATCGCGTTGATGAGAGGCTGGGGCCAGTGTGGAAGTCAGGATGTTACCTCTCCTTTCCATCTGTGCAGTGAGAATGCGTATCCTGGCTATTTGAAACCTCAAGCTCCCATATGAAGAGGCATTGTTAGATATTATTACCTTAGGCATCTTTGCTTTTCTGATATATTTAGTGTTTTAGCCTCTGCTCCCAAGTGGAATGATTTATGCATAGAAAGCCAAACCAATTTATTTGAAATCTGAAAGCTCATCATCAGAAACAACATTTCTAGAGACTTCTTTCCCCAGGGCGGCGAGTAGCAGCATGTCAGCCAGCCACCATGGTTCCCAACCAAAGCCCTGTGCAGCCGGTGGTGGTGGAAGGAGGCTGGACCGAACAGACACAAGAGGAAATTAAACTCATGGAATGTATAAGACATACAGAGGTATGTTCTTTAGGACTCAAGACATTAAAGACTCTGCCTCTATTATACGCTTTCAAAAGTACAGTATTGAATTTTAAAATTATGCCCATTAATATGTTCTCAGCATCTGGTCAGTTATGACCATGTAGGCATATGCCAAGCCTTGCATTGGCATTTGGAGAGCAGCTCTCTAAAAGACATCCAGCTCATAGGGAAGTCTGTTTTGTTTGAATGGAGACCAGAAATTATGACCTTAGCCAAGAAGAAAAAAAGGCCCAGTGGATATGTACAAAGGTGATTATAATAAGTGTATTCAAGTTGAACCTTATGGCTTCATTGCTCATCACTCCTAAGGGTATGTCTCAATGTGTAAAAAGAGCAAGGAGCAAAATACTAATTGCTATGGAGACATTCAGAAATGAGGAATTCAAAAAGCTGTTTCAACCCAATTGCTTAATTAGTCAGGATTGCTAGACATGAAAAAGGCGAGAAGAGAAAGGTCAGCTATTGAGAGAGGATTGGGGATAGAGATCTGGGAAAACTTTTTGCTTTGTGATGTTTTCATTAAAATGGTATGTTCTTATTTAATAAGTTTCTCCAATCGTGATGTGTGTTCAATCTACAGCATGGGTGTGTGCCCAAGTCAAGGTTACTAGAAAAAAGGAATTGACATTGCTAGAAATAGGACTTGTTGCCAAGTGAACAAGGATAAATCACTGACCAGGGAATGAATGCAAAGCACTGAACTAGGACATGCTTGGAGTGGGATGAAAAGCTGCCTGGCTGGGATCTGGCAAAGTGTAAGGGTGGCTGCTGTGTTTGCAAAGACAGAGATTGGGGACTCAACAACAGTCCCGCACACTCCCTTAAGCATTTCTTGGTTAAAGGAAACGATGTTGTAATTCTAATCAAAAACTCATCTATTAGATGCAGAGAAATTTCTCAGTAGGAGAAATACCATGCAGAAGTCCAAAAACACATCTCTATTCATTACTTGAAATTATAAATGAAAATGAAGTGCTTTGCCAAAATGAGTACCTTGTTATTGTCACTGCAATGATTATTATTGTCTTCAGTGATTCATTGAAGCAAGGGAAATTGACAAAAGACTCAGGGACAGGAGAGAGTAATGCACGTCCTAAAATTTTGCACGTAAACCATCATAAGATTCCTGTCTTTCGTCACATTCTTCACACACACTAAACATGGCCTTCTCTGGGCTTTCCTTGACAGGCACACCTTTCTGAAATCCAAGAACGGCAATCCAAGAGAAATTCTCCAACTGCAACTAAACATACAGCATTCAAGCAGAGCAGCCTGTATAAGCAACCGAACGCAAAACGGGTCTGGGTTTATCTAAATGGATGCAGACCAGACGATGGCACTTATGCCTGGGGCAAAAGCATTTCAGAGGTAAACCTGGTGTGAAAAGAGAAGGTTCGAATCCCAGTTCTGACATTTCTAGATTGTGGGGTCAGACAAATTACATCTCTAAACCTCATTTTCTCAACCGTAAAATGGGAATAATACTTTCTTCACTGGATTGATACGATGATTTAATGGGCTTATACTAGTGAAAATGTGGGATCCAGTGTTGTCTGATGTATGTGTGACTCAGAATAGGACACTTGGCCAACAAGAACAGTGACAATTAAACACACTGCAGCTCAAGAGTAAAATCTAAACTTTGCAATAACTTAAAATAGTTTTCCTGTTCTGTTTTAAACCCAGTTTTCAAAAGAATGATTGTTTTTCCCCACAGGATTGTCAGGTATTATTCTGTAGGGAAAACAGTAGTATTCACTAGAGAAAAATTATCATAGTTTTCCTACCCAGAGTCCTGGAACTGCAGCCAGCTTTTCACTTAGCAAAGGTAAAATATTGACTAAGAAAAAGATGAACAGCAGTTTATTTATTTTTTGTAATATCAAGGATATAATTCTTAAGTTTGACATTTTGTCTTAGTCTTTAAAAACTTTAGGCACATAAATGGATTTTGGTAGACTTTTTAAAAGTCTTAACTGTTTCAGTGATATCTCAAAAAGTTGTTTGGTTTTTTAATTTTGTGAAATGTTTTTATAAATTGTGGGGGGACAAGAGGAAGTCATATAAAGGTGAGATATTGTTAGGGGTGGAGGGAAAACACAATGGTGCAATAGACTGGCCTGGAGGAGTTCAAATAGGTTGCCAAGGGCATCTGGAGTAGTAGGCGCATCTCCGCATCGCATCTCTGAGGAGTTCTGCCCCTGAAAATGGTCTAGACTCAGAGTGTCCCAGAGACCATTCCGGTTCGACAAGGACTTTGAATAAGATCTTGGAAGCAATCACATCTCAGAAGGGGACAACCAATTTACTATACTTGAGAAAGGAGATTAAAAAAACAAGTAAGACACTTCATATACGTAGGGGAAAAAAGAAAATGGATTTTAAAAAGAGAATGAAAACTTTTTCAGGAGAGAACATTCTAGAATAGGCTCTATAACAAAGCTGAAATGTTTCTTCCATGTTGATTTCAATGAAAATCTCAATTTGTATTGTAATTGCTAAGTCTTAAAATGCACCAATCCATTGCAACTAGAACTGATACATTAGTGAGGAAAAATGAAATGATAAATAAACAGACCAAGGGTAGAAAAGGGACCATAGGATTAAAGATAGCCTATCAGACTCAGGAAGGCAAAAACTTATAATAACTTTTACATAAATATCATATATACGGGGGAGGAATGACTTTTTGGCTTGTGACTCCTATGTAGCATATAAAAGTCACTTCATAAATATTACTCCATGATCATGCAATTTTTTATGAACTTTGTACATGAAGGGCTAGATGCTCTAAGGTATTATTCTAACTTATGAATGTGAAAAGATTTTGAAAACTTTATAATGCAGTATAATTCACAGGTTAATTCAATAGTGGTGGCAGCAGTAAGAAGAATAAAATAACACATGTCTATGCTCACATTAAATTAATATTTCGAGTTGGCAAAGCATTGAAAATATATCAAGATTTACTTGGGTGTGTAGAGAAACAGGCACTCCTATTGACAGAAGTACAACTTTTGGAGTCAACATGGCCACTCATAAGAAAATTAGAGGCCTGATGCATGAAAATTCGTGCAAGAGTAGGTCTTCCTTCCCCCAGCTGCTGGCACCAGCCTCCCTCAGGCACCCGGGACCCAGGCTTCCCTCCTCCAGCTGCTAGCAGGCACCCAGAACCCTAGCCCTAACCGGTTTGGCTCAGCAGATAGAGCGTCGGCCTGCGGACTGAAGGGTCCCAGGTTTGATTCCAGTCAAGGGCATGTACCTTGGTTGCGGGCACATACCCAGTGGGGAGTGTGCAGGAGGCAGCTGATCAATGTTTCTCTTTCATAGATGTTTCTAACTCTCTATCCCTCTCCCTTCCTCTCTGTGAAAAATCAATAAAATATATATTTAAAAAAAAAAAAAGATCCCTGGCTGGCTTCCCTCGGGCCCCTGCTTCATCAGGAAGGATGTCTGGAAGACATCTGGTCTAATTAGCATATCCCCCTTTTATTATTATAGATGTACTTCTGAACTTTATCCCAAGAATATTTTCACAAATTTATGCAAAGGTTGTTTAGTAAGAATATATATCACAGTTATTTATAATACAGATGGATTCAAAATAATTTAAACACTCATAAACAGAGAGTTGGTTAAATGAATTATAGTACATAGGATCGAATATTATAACTAAAAATCAACTTTAGAAAGAATAATGACAATAAACATGTTTAAGATATGCTAAGTGAAAGAAGCAAAATCTACAGCATGTGGAGTTGAATTCTATATACATACATGAACACCTCTAGAAAAACAGACTGGGAGGATTTTATTTTGGGGAGTATTTCCTGGATGGTCTTATTATTGGTGACCTAATAAAGTTGGTATTGCTTTCTTGTGTGTTTTTTTATGAGTTCCATATTTTGTTGTGATGAACATAGATTGTCTTTGTGAGAGAAATACGTTTGCTAAGGGAGCTAGCATTCTTTTTGGAGAAGTACTAACAGCAGGTGACATGGTCAATCAGTAGTGCAGGTAGAGGTTCAGTAGTTCAGAGAAAGGAACACTGCCCATCTGGGATGAAGGAGAGGCTCCGAGAGGAATTATCGACACTGTTGATGGAACTTGAGAAATGGGCAAGATTCAATATCTTAGGCAGAAAAAGTAGTAACAAGGATGAGAGGTACCACACACAAAGATATGGGTGTTAGAATGCATAAATCATATTAGGTAAATGGTCCTTGAACTGACATGTAGGGAGAGATACATACAACTGGAGAGATTGTTTAAAAGCATATGATGGATCCCACATACTATCTGTATTAGTCTACTTGGATTGCCATAACAAAATACTACCACAGATGGGAGTGGGAGGAATTAAACAGAAATTTATTTCTCAGGGCTCTGGAGGCTGAGAAGTCTGAGATCAGGCTGGCAACAGGGTTGGATTATGACAAGGCCTCTCTTTCTGGCTTGCAAACAACCACCTTCTCCCTGCTGTGTGTCCTCACAGAGCCTTACCTCTGTTCAGGCATGGAGAGGAGAGAGAAAAGCTCTAGCAGCTCTTCTTCCTCTCATAAGGTCACAGTTCTGTGGGATTAGTGCCCCACCCTTATGACATCAGTTAACCATAATTACCTGCTTAAAGGCCCTTTCTCCAAATAGAGTCACATTGTGTGTTAGGGCTTCAACTTATGAGTTTGGAGGATGACACAATTCAATCCATCACACTACCCCCAACTAAAGTGCTTGAGCCACTAGTTGTCTCTGAATAAGGAAATGGTATCATGAAAGCAATATTTTGGGGAGATTAATGTGGCTTAGTAGAAAGATACTTAGGAGATGCCTAGAAAGTTTTTGGCATGTTTTTCTTTTGCTTTATTTTTTTAATAATGTTTTTATTGATTTTTAGAGAGAGGGCAAGGGTGTGAGATAGAGAGATGGAAACATCAATGAGAGAGAAATATCATCGATACGCTGCCTCCTACTGGGGATCAAGCTAGTAGGGGGCATGTAGGATCAGCAGTTGAGTGTTGGTTCATGGGTCAACACTCAACTGCTGAGCCACACTGGTCCAGCCTTTTGCTTTATTTATTTATTTTTAAGTTATTTCTTATTGCTTTCCTTTCCTTTTCCATGTCCTTTATTCTTGTTTTTAGGCTCCTGCCTAAGGTTCTCTGTGATCAGTTGTAAATGTGTCATCTCAGGCTATCAGGCTGTCAAGAATACTTCTACAGAGTGGACTTGTGTGTGAAACAAATACACAATGGGAAGAGTTGGGCTCAGATTTCCCTGGGGGAATCTGGCTAATGTCATCAATTCCAGAGAAGCTAAAAGTTTCAGTGGTTGGCACTTTTGCCAGAAGAATGAGGAACAGGACACATTTCAAAGAGCTTCACTCTACACTCTGTAATGAAGCCCCTAGACAGTATTTGAATCCCATCTAATGCAGGCTTTTCCTCAACTTGTTTCACTGCTGTGGCCATTCTGGATGATTTAACCACATCCTTCCTACCCACTCTTTGAACACTGCTAGAGCAGCTCTCATCTCCAACTGCTTTAGGCTCATCTGTCATCCATGCACCAAGGTGGCTTCCTCACCGGATTACTGGCTCTTTCATCAGGGCCGACATCTTTCTCTGATTTATGATTGCTCGGGCCCCTCCTTCTATCGACCGGAAGCATTCATCTTCTCCCATTCCTGCAACATCTCTCCTATTCTACAGAATCTCAAAGTCAGTGTGTTCTCTCTTGGCCAGGGACAGTGCTGAATGTATGAGTGGAAGCTGAAAGAATGAGAAACAGCTCCCTTTGATTTGTAGGGGCAAGTACCTCTTGCCCACAGGGAATATGCAATAGTTCAGTGATGCCCATGGGCCCCACCCTGAGAAGATCGGGTCTAGGAAAATTAAACTCACAAAATAGATTGTGGGAGAGAAATGATGCATAGAACATTGTTCCTTTGTTCTGAGCTTTTGTTATGGCAGAAATTACAAACATTAAAGGTCATATGCTGACTAGATATTTTAGAATCTAATTTTGTTGAAAATACTATATTTTCAAATTTATTTTTTAAAAGAGTTTTGTAAACTCAATGAATTTGTCTCATGTAAACAGATCTTTGTGAAAACCAAATGAAATAGTGATATATTTAATTCATATTTTGCACTTGGTATATGTTTTTCTTAAATAATGTTCATTTCTCTGATTAGAGGGAAACATAACCTCTATAGAATTGTGACATTTTAGTGCTAAAGTAGTAAAAAATATAAGCAGTACCTTTATGTGGGATCTTTTCAAGCATCACAAGTTTCTTCCAGAGATCTACCAATACATATTTCTAGGACACCACTAGAGCAGAAAAAAAAAAAAAATGAGTAACTTCTATGAATTGAAGTATGTACCCTTAACATTTTTATCTTGAGGCCTTACAATGTGACTATATCTGAAGGGAGAATTTTAAGAGGCAATGGAGGTTAAATAATGTTTTAAGGGTGGAGCCCTAATCTGATAGGATTTGTGGCCTTATCAGAAGAGGAAAAGAGAGATTTCTCTCTTCTCCTACCGTGTGAGGACACAAGAGAGCAGCTGTCTGCAAAGCCAGGGAGAGAGCTCTCACCAGAAAGTGAATCAGCCAGCCAGCACCTGGATCTTGGACTTCCCTGCCTCCAGAACTGTGAGAATTAAATTTGGACCATGTAAGCCACTCAGTATATGGTATTTGTTTTGGGACCCCAAGCAGTCTAAGACAGTGACTATTGTGGAAATTTTAGAAAAATTGCGAAGGGAAGCCATGTGAATCTATTACAAGTGAAATTTTTGGTTCTCTGAATAACATTCTGTTTTCTAATTATAAAACAGTATATAGACATTGTATTAAAATTAGAAAAAGAAAAGGCACCAAGAAGGAAATGAAAATTCTGTCAAAAAACAAAAATCACCAAAGTTGTTATAATTTTAGTAGATATATTTATGTGGTTACTATAGAGTCATAATTTTTTTTTGTCATTGTGATCATAGTAGATCACAGGGCATACACAATTTTGCAATCTGTATTATTCACCTAAAACATTATTGTGAATTTTTATCCATACAATTTAATTATTTTCAATGGTATCATTATGTTCTGTCAAATAGATGGATTGTTATTTATTCATCCTATTTTCTGTTGTTTGCCATTTAAGTTGTTTTTAAATTTTTGCCATTATAAAACATACTCCAATGAACAAATTTATATGTAAATCGTTAGTTAATTAGAATTGTTTAGCTTTTCTTTTCCTTGTCCATGTCACTTTTTGGTGATGTTTTATATTTACTTATTATTTTTTTCTATGAAAACTTACTTTAAAATGTTTAATTTGTTTAATTTTCTGACCATTTTTGTAGAAGTCGAATTGTGTTCTAGTTGTCTTACTGCCTAATATTAGTCATGTTATATTATGGTTTTCCCATAGTGAAGGAATTTACTTCATTCAGTTCTTAATCTGAAATGTATGTAACATGGTTTTGACTTTTTGTGTACATGAGAATATCTTTTGTTTTCTATAGCCAAAAGTAATAATTTAGCTGGATATTGAAATTTTATGTTAAAAATCTTTCCCCCTAAAAACTTCATAGACTGCTTTATTTTCTTAGAAACTCATTGTTGCAGAAAACAGGTCTAAACATAATTGAATTTTCCCCCATGTCTGAAATTCATACTTTTCACCCAGTTATATTTAAATTAACTTTGACTTATTAACTTTGACTTATCCTGCATTAACCTATTTGATCTGAAGAGATGGCCTGTTTGGGACAGGAAATTTTTCTTCTATTTTTTTGATGATTGTTCAAGTTTAATTTATTCTGGATTCTTCTCCAGTAGCCCTGACGTTCCTCATTGTTCAAGCACTTGAGTGAACTTCGTATGTCTTTCTCCCCATCTCCTTTTATATCTCTTTCTAACAATTATAAGTAAAACGAGTGTTCAAATCAGGACACTAGTTCCCTTAAAAGAGTTGAATCTTTAATACTTAACTATGTTGTGACAATCCACCTCCCAATGCTAAGTGTGTACCTTGGTGTCTCAGCTGCTAGATGACTGCTCGGCTCGTCTGAAGATGGCCCGCCCAGCCAGCACCCTGTACACCCCCGGGGGAGAGCTGATTCTGTCCTGGGACCAAATAGAGCGAGACATGGTCATCTGTGTGTCCACAGGACATGGCTTCATAACCCAAAAAGGTGTGGTGACAGTTTCTTTCCATCAAGTTTCCAAAGAATTAAATCATTCAGTATTTTCTTCCAAGAACTCCTCCTCTACACTGTTCTATTCCATGTTACTAAAGTTAAATGTATAAACTTATGACACTGTTTGCTCTACAGAATTCAGAGTTTAAAAAAAACAAATCAAAATTCTGTTAGTCTTGTGCCTTTTCCAAGGGGCTTATTTGCAGGGATTCTCAAGGGCCTAATTAGAAGGTCTTTCCTTAGTGCTAGTATGAACCCTCAGGAAAGTGAGGCTCCATTGTCTTCCTACTTTTCAAATTATTTAAAATTTAGTGTTTGCTTAATAACAACTATTTGGTTTGCAGATTTCCTTTCTTTTTAAAAAATATTTTTTTATTGATTTCAGAGAGGAAGGAAGAGGGAGAGAGAGATAGAAACAAGCATCAATGATGAGAGAGAATCATCGATCAGCTGCCTCCTGAACACCCCATACTGGGGATCGAGTCCGCAACCTGGGCATGTGTCCCAATTGGAATCCAACCATGACCTCCTGGTTCATAGGTCAATGCTCAACCACTGAGCCACGCCAGCTGGGTAGATTTCCTTTCTTTAGTAAAAAGTAAATATATACTCGTTTAATCATTTTGTCTGTTTTCTGATAATTTTCTTTCATAAATAACTAGGGGCCCAGTGCACAAAAATTTGTGCACTCGGGGGGGTGGGGAGGGGGGGTCCCTCAGCCCGGCCTGTGCCCTCTCGCAGTCTGGGACCCCTCAGGAGATAACGACCTGCTGG